AAGCTGTCAACACAGCCTGCTATACTCAAAATAGGAGTATGATCTATAAAAGGCACAACAAAACTCCCTATGAACTATGGAACGGGAGAAAGCCTAATATATCATATTTCCATATTTTTGGGAGCAAGTGCTTTGTGTTAAACAACGGGAAGAATCATCTGAACACTTTTGATGAGAAATCAGATGAGGCCATCTTCCTAGGATATTCCATGGTAAGCAAGGCATTTAGAGTCTTCAACAAAAGAACCATGATCACTGAAGAGTCAATACATGTTATTTTTGATGAAAAACATGTGGTTGACAAGCCATCAAAGCATGATCATGAAGTTCTGGATCTATCAGACAAGGATGAAGAAGCCAATGAAGGAGATAGAATGAAGCCCACGGAATTCATTCCATTCAGAAGTCTGCCTCTGAAGACTTCACAGAGGAATCCGGATTTAGACAGTGCTGAGCCCTCCGGAAATCTAGGCCAGCCTTCCAATATTCCGGATATCTCAAACTGCGACAATTCCGGAAATGGTGACCCAGTGCCAATCCATCCGGAAACACCAACAACCTCTGTCCTTCAACCAGAAGCTGAACTAGATCAACCAGTCAATCCCAATCAACACAATCTTCGTTGGTTAAGGGATCATCCTCCTCAACAGATCATTGGAGATATTCAATCTGGTGTTCGCACAAGGAGTGCCCAACAAAATCTAGAAGCTATGCTTGCTTGTTTCATCTCACAAGTGGAACCAAAGAATATTGAAGAAGCTCTAGCTGATTCTGATTGGATCAATGCAATGCAAGAAGAACTCAACCAATTTTAAAGAAATGACGTCTGGAAACTTGTTCCCAAACCTACTCATCAACATGTCATTGGGACAAAGTGGGTCTTCCGGAACAAGATGGATGAAAACGGCGTTTTTGTCAGAAACAAAGCCCGGTTAGTTGCAAAAGGTTACTGTCAAGAAGAAGGTATAGATTTTGATGAAACCTTCGCTCCAGTTGCTAGACTTGAAGCTATAAGGCTGTTTCTAGCCTATGCTGCTCACAAGGACTTCAAGGTCTATCAAATGGACGTCAAAAGCGCATTCCTCAACGGAAACCTCGAGGAAGAAGTTTATGTGGAACAACCTCCAGGATTTGAGTTACACACTAAAGGAGATCA